GAAAGCTTAAATATAAAATTCTGTGAAATATGCTAAATTTTGATATTAAAATGAGTAAATTTGACTTCGGTCAACATTTTGGATAAACGGACCCGGACCCGTGATTTGACGGTCCCGGAGGGTCCGTAGGAAAATATGGGACTTGGGCGTATGCCCGGAATCGAATTCCGAGGTCCCAAGCCCGAGAAATGAATTTTTGAGTAAAATTGTTTTCTGAAAATAATTAAGGAAATTGGAAATGAAATTTGATTAGAAGGTGATGGTATCGGGCCCGTATTTTGGTTCCGGCGCCCGGTACAGGTCTTATATATGGTTTAAGCACTTCCTGTAAAGTTTGGTTGAAAACGGACGTCGTTTGACGTGTTTCGGACTTAAAACAGAAAGTTTAATGTTTTATGAAATCATGGATTTTGAGGCTTAATTTGATGTTTGTGATGTTATATTAGCGATTTGATCGCACGAATAAGTCTGTAGGATATTTTTGAGGTTGTGTGTGTGTTTGGTTTGGAGCCCCGAGGGCTCGGGTGAATTTTGGATAGGCCGTGAGTGCATTTTTAACCTTTGTGAAAATCTGGCATTTCAGTTCTGGTATTTTCGCATTTGCGAAGCAGGTCTCGCAAATGCGATATCGCAAATGCGAGCCTGGCATCGCAAATGCGAGGAAGAGTGAGTCTGCAGTGGGTCGCAAATGCGACCATTTGGCCGCAAATGCGAAGCTGGGCTGGTCGCAAATGCGACCTTTGGCTCGCAAATGCGAAGTCTAGATTTTTTGGACAGTGTTCGCAAATGCGAACATTTTCTCGCAATTCCCATAACAGGTCGGGGTCGCAATTGCGAACCCCAGTTCGCATTTCCCACATCTGCAACCTGCATTTTTCATACTTAGTCGATTTTAAGACATTTTTCACCCCATTTTCAAAACACAACTCCTTTGGGCGATTTTTTAAGAACCAACCTTCTTCCAAATCATTTGTAAGTTGATTTTTACTCGTTTCTTTCAATCATTAACATCATTTAACATGTTTTCAACTTGAAATCAAAGATTTTCATGGGAGAAATTGGGGGTTTTGGGTAGAACCTAGGTTTTTCTAAAATTGGAGATTTGGACCTCAATTTGAGGTCCGATTTCAAAACAAATCACATATTTGGGTTCGTGGGGGAATGGGTAGCCGGGTTTTGGTTCGAACCTCGGGTTTTGACCACGTGGGCCCGGGGGCGATTTTGGGATTTTTGGAAAAAACTTTGAAAAATTCATTTTTATGCATTCAAATTGATTCATTTAGTGTTTATTAATGTAATTAAGTATTTTGTGACTAGATTCGAGCGGATTGGTGGCGGAATCGAGGGGTAAAGCCATAATTGAGACTTGAGTTGAATTCAAAGCATTGAGGTAAGTGTTCGATTTAACCTTTGCTTGAGGGATTAGGAGTCTAGTCATATTTGTTATGTGTTTCTTGTGGAGTACGCGTATAGGCATGGTGACGAGTATCTATACGCCGGTGTCGAGCATGACCGTGAGTCTTAAATTGACATTTATTGCGTTCTCGAATAATACTATGGATGAAACAGTGAATAGACTTGTGTTGTTGAGCAAGGTTTTGCTTATTTTTGGTGAAAGTTGATTATGAGTTAGAAATGATGATAATAGAAATGCTAAATTCGAATTGAGGTTGGTTATAGCTGGTTCTCCCTTGCCGGGATGAGTATACTTGTACTGTTGAATTCCCTTGCCGGGATAGAGTATTTTATGATTGATCCTCTACCGAGGTTTGTGGTTATGATTATGATAAGCTATGCATATTTGGAACGGGTTGCGCGCCGCAACATAATCTATAGTGGATCGGGTTGCACTCCGCAACATAAATTTGATTGGATCGGGTTGCACGCCGCAACAAGTATATGTTATAATTATTGGATCGGGTTGCGCGCCGCAACAGTTATAGTTAAACGTATAGATCGGGTTGCACGCCGCAACAGTTATAGTTAAAGTACGGATCGGGTTGCGCGCCGCAACAGTAGTGCTGTCATATGGTTTTAGATATTGTACTGTTCCTTCATGTGTTATTCAATTTCTGCTAAGTTGAACTGTTTCCCCGAGGCATGTACCCCCTTCCCTTATAACTGCTCATTAGCTGTTTATTTTCTGCAATATATTATATAGCTGCACAGTTTTATCTGGAGTCTGGTGCTAGCCTCGTCACTACCTCGCCGGGGTTAGGCCAGACACTTACCAGCACATGGGGTCGGTTGTGCTGATGCTACACTCTGTGCTCTTTTGCACAGATCCAGGTATTGGACAGCAGCTGCAGTAGCGCGGGAGTTAGCCTTCAGTACAGCGAGACACCGAGGTAGCCTTGCAGGCGTCCGCAGGCCCGGCGTCTCTTCTATGTTTTATTTCAGTCTGTTATCTCATGTATTTCGAGACAAACAGTTATATTTCTTTCAAACAGTTGTATTTAGCACTCCTAGTAGTTCGTGAGTATGTGACACCAGTTCTTGGGTAGAGGTTTATGTTGAGTTCCGCATTGTTGTTCAGATTCTTTAATTTAAGACTTCCGCTTGTTTACTTTATTCCGCTGTTTTCATGATATTACCGATAATTATTAAAAGAAAGTAAATTGATTAATGCTAAAGGTAGTTAAGGGTTGGCTTGCCTAGCTCTCATCAGTAGGCGCCATCACGACTCCCGAGGGTGGAAAATCCGGGTCGTGACATCAGGAGGCTAGCATTACAATTAAGAACTGATGGAGCTAGCAGTGTTACAAATTGGGAGGTATAAGATTGCTTGATGAGATCTAATAGTTATTGTTAACTTTGACCTATATTTTCACAATTAGCACTCCTCTGCTGCTTATTGTTGGACCTAAATCAGGCATATGCTACTTCAGTTTTATATAATAAAAGTTGTTGTAGAAACAATACAAATGTTACTACAAGTTGAATTCAGTTTTATTTTAAACATTAATATAATGCATTTGATATTTTGGTCAAAGATCACGTATTTATTCTTTCAAACCAAATACAGAACGAAACTAACAATTTCTAGGGAATATTAGCAATAATGTTTTGTTTGGATTATGTCTGACAATGTAATTGGTGCAATTTCCTATCCAAATGCTATGTTGCCAGATAAAGTTTAGTTTTGGATGACTCTTACGTTTCTCCTAATTGCATGTATTTTGTGCAGCTACTTTTTGGCTATTTGCAAACCGAGACAGCGCTACGGCCAACACAATTGGCTAAAAAGTATTTTAAAGAAAAGCTTTTGTAAGTTATTATTTTATTCCTAATGTTTTCATTGTTGGCTAAGTTCATGCAGTCAAACTCATTAAGATTATTATAACTGATATCTACATTGTGGAGTGCTCCTTTTTATTGGTATTTGAAGAAGATGCTTTGCTAATTGGAACATTCACAATATTATGTATAACTGATATTATGTCCGCAAAATTTATCTTTGGAATGATTTTATAAATTAATGTCATTCCAGTGATCCGGTGAAGCTTCCACACTTGCTATTGAACCTGACTTAATATCCCTGGAGTATTTGATCTATAATGCTGAAAAAAGTATGTTCAAGGCTCACTTTTGCAAAATAATATTTCATAGTCACTTTCGAGTCATTTGAAGGGCATCCTTATACATGGCTATTATAGAGTAATTCCTCTGTTATTTAAGTTTATGTTGTGGCATAAAAGATATGAATTCCTTAAAATCTAGAGCTTCGAGGTCTTTTCTCCATTTAATGGATCCTAGATTTGAACATATTTCACCGACACAATTAAATGAGATGGAACTTAATATAGACCTGTTCATAGACTTGTGCATTTTATGTGTATGTGATTACTGTAATAGCATCCGAGGTACTGTGCTTATCAATTATAAATTTCTGTTTAAAATTATGTTTGTTGCAGTATATACATTAAAATAATCGATAACTCATATAACTTTCTCACTCATAATGCATGTTTGCTTTTATTTTTCTAATAACAGTTGTACATGTCCTTCTACCATTTTTGACTCCACAATGACAATTCAAATTAGAATTATTTGGTTACAATGAAGTAGGAAAAAGAAAAATAAAACCACCGGTTTATTACACCCATGACTCCACCAGTTTATTACACCCACGACTGATGTCTTTCCAAACGTGGGCTTAAAATAATAATTCTAATGGACGGCCATAACTTATTCTTATCGACATTCAACCTATCAAGAAAATAATTATTTAATTTACTGACTTTTATCCGTGCCAACAAATCTATTATTTTGAACTTTCATCAGATGTTGAAGTAGACAATTTTTGTCATATCAGATTATTATTCCTGCATTTCATCTCTACACAATATCACTCTATTGCCCTATTAAATGCAGGGAGAGAAGTATGTTTCTGCTTAAAGTTGACCTTACTGCAGAAGTATTTTCTCTTATTGGTTGTTGAACGTGTGTAACTTTCAGAAGCAATTCTTTTAAAAGATTTGGCGTGGAGATACATAGTTTGATCAACCTCATGAAGTTAGGTCACAGAAGAGGTACACACCGCTTCTCTGTTCTTTACACTTCCTTTCTTCCCAATCCTTCTTTCCTCAAATAAGTCTACTCATGAATGATAAAATTTTTTGGAAACAACGCCTCTTGACTAAAAAAGTTATATCTTTTTATAGACGCCTCAAAATCATGATTCGCTTGTGCCGTTGAAAAGAGCACTTCTAGAACCAAACATATGCAAAAAACAGATCCAGAATCTTTGTATATTTATAAATATATGCTTTTGAACTTGAAGTATGATATCGAAACAAAGTTTCATTATAAATATATTCTTAGGTAGTTGAATTATTCCTGAAAAACATCGCTATTTGTCACACCTTTATATTATTACTTCTCATTTCTCAGGAACTTGAAATATGATATCGAAACAAAGTTGTTCTCCTAATTGAAAACTCTGTTGGTGGGACCATCCACCTTAACTACAATTTACTACTCCGGCTACGCTGCATATTATGGGAGAAGTGCAGTTAGTTGTTAACAACTGCCTTTTGGAATTGCAAGGATTCAGGAAAGAGGAACTAAACTATGTCGTTCGCCTCGCTCAGGTAATTGTTAATTTAATTATCCAAAAGAATTTTTTGTTCCTCATTAATTGTGAGAAGATACAAAAAATATTGGATAAAGTATAGGGGTTGAGTTAGAACTGTAATTTGATGTTTGATATTCATCTTATCTTCTACTTAATTGGCGCTGAATATCCAACTAAGAAAAAAACAGCATGAGAAATATGATGAAATATCTGTCTGTCATGAAAAGATTAAATAGGAGATAAGTTAATTTTGGTAGAGATATTGATACTCTGATTGCATCAGTTAGTAAAGAGGAGATAAGTTGATTTTAGGCAACTTTTGCAATTCAAAGGGAGCGGTGCATATCTTTTCTAAAAATTCAAATTTTATTAGGACTACCTATGAGCATATGAATATTAATATAGGATAATCATTTTTTTCCTGATAATGTGTACTTATGTAATGGAACTATAACACAAAGTTTCTTTCCTGCAGGTGTCTTGAAATTTTTATAAAAGGCTTTAAAAAATTTCATAAAAGGCTTAACAACTACTATTAAGGTTCCCGCTTTCTTTTACAGATGATTCAGAGAATTGAGCAGTTGAATGAAGAAGATGATTTTTATCAAAAAACAATATCAAAGTACATAATGGCAAAGTGAGGTGACTTGCCATGAGTTCATATTACTATACTCAAACACCATATGAGAAACCTAAACAATAAACTGTAGAGACTTCCTATGGTTGCAACAAGGCTTTGTGATGCAAATCCCAATATTATTATTCCATATATATATATATATATATATATATATATATATATATATATATATATTATTTTTTTATGAAAAATTATATTTAATATTTTTCGTGCAACGCGCGGTACGGATACTAGTAAAATAATAATAAAATATGCATGAGTAGTGTACCCCATATTTGGGGGAACACTATTCATCCCTCATTTTGGGGGCAAAATGGGGAGGGTTGGAGCTTCATTATGGCAAAAGTTACCCCCATTATGGGGAAATGGGGGAAGGTTGGAGATGGCCTAAACAGGCCAATATCAGTAGCCTCCACTGCTCCAGCTTCTGCCATTAATATACCTCATCTCCTTTAATCTTGAAGAAAATTAATCAATAACAGCCATCACACCATAACAATTTCACTGACCACGGATAAAATTCAATCCCATTTTCAGTAATTGACCTTCTCCAATTCCCTTTTGCGGCTACAGTTTGAAATCTTCGATGGTCCAATTAAATTTTCTTTTAGCAATTGATAGTGAAGATCCACTCGTTCTACTTGGTGTCGTTGACAGCGACATGGTAAGGAATGAAGCACAACAATGTTATCCATAATGGGCATTAAAAAAAGCACTGTCAAAATTATGTGAAGACCTGATTCAACCTACCAACAAGGAAAATAATTGTGTAATTTAGTTATCTTCTGGACTAAAAAATTGTAGATTTTGTTACATGCGGTAGGTAGGGAAGAAGAATTTGGAAGATGAAAGAAAAAAGGGACGGGATGAAGAATGGGAGAGGGCTCATCGGAGAAGAAGATTGGAGAGTAGGGTGGTTATGAGGAGAAAGAAATAGGGATAGTGTAGTGGTGGCGGGTTGGTGGTTGAATTGTAATTTACTAGATTATTAGGTTTTTTGTTTTTTATTAACTTTATTTCATATTGTTTAGCCACGTGTCAAATACTAATTGGTTCTTAAAATTGTTTTCGAATGTGTATCACACGCGATATGGGCTGACTAGGTCGGGTATTTATTTGGGGGTTTTGACACAGCTACCCACAAAAATAAAACTATTTACCCTTGTCTACCCATTTATTTTTCTACCCATAAACTAATTACATTTCCTACCCATAGTAGTTTTTGTGGGGAATTTTTTCTTTATTCTCCAATTTTTTATTTATTTATTTCTATGCTTCTTTTGTCTTTTTTTTCTTTTTTTTTCTTTTCTCCTTTTCTTTTTTCTCAATTTCTTCTTATTTTTTTCTTTTTTCCTTTTCTAATTTCATTTAACTTTTTTTTATATTCTTTTTCTCTTTATAGTCTAATTTCATTTACTGTTTCCACTATTTTTATTATTTTTTTCTACTATTACTAAAGAAAAATTAAATTGTGTACCAATTAAATGTAGCTAATACAACCAAAAAAATATTAACTAACATATGATACCAGTATAGTATATAGCTATACCAACAGGGTATAGTTAAAAAAAAATTTCTTGTTTTGAGTTCAAAATAACCACAAACTCAACAAACCCAATTTATGAGTTTCAAAGCTTCAAGGTCCTCCAATGGTATATTAATATTTTGCAGTAGTCAGAAGTCTTGGAATTCAAGTCATACAATAAATCAAAGCGAAAAAAAGATTTGAATTTTCACTTTGGCCCTCACGCTGGGTAAAAGCTTAAAGCAAATTAAAAGAGAAAAGGCAAGTGAATTTACGGGTAATAAGTTTACTATTATGGTATATTATATACTATTACAGCATACTGTTACGGTATATTGCATATTATTACAGTATACTATAACAATATATTGTATGCTATAATAGTATACTGTTGCAATATAACTATATACTCCTATAGTATATTGTATACTGTAGCGGTATACTGTTAGATAACTGTGTTCTTCTTCGATTATTACAATATACCGTTGCAGTATGTTGTAAACTATAACAGTATATTGTTGCAGTATAGCTATATACTCCTACAGCATATTGTATACCATAGCAGTATACTATTGGGTAGTTGTGTTCTTCGTCGATTTTCAGCTGAAAATTTCGATGTCAATCACCTCAAATCAGCTCCAAATGCTATCAAATTTCAGTATGAACTCCCAGAAGGTATTATAAGCAATATTTAACAGCACCCACTTTGAATCAAACAAGAAATCTTCAAAATAAAAATTTTAAATTCAAGAGCTTCAAAACAAATCTCAATACATGTTCTCCTTCCATTTAGTATAAGATTTTTTTTTTTTGAAATTAAACTGATTTTGCATTAGCAGACATGTAGGTCATTGAGGAGAAGAGGTGGTCTGGAGGCTGTGTTTGCCTCTGCTGTACTTGTAGAAGATTTCAACATACAAGGAAAGACAATTTTGACATAAGCAATTGCAAATTGTTGGACATAGGCAATATAAATGGGAACAAATGTTGGATGATTACATAGTTTTCCATGTTAGTAGGGATCCTCTTTCACTATAGGAAGCTACTGAATTTATACCCTTTCTTGACGAGAAATTCAGTAGTTAATATGTAGTTAACCAAATATACCCGCCCTTTCCAAAAGAAAATTCCCGCGATCTTTACTAGTATTCAATTCCGGATCTGACAAATACGATCCAATTCACTCATTTGCAACAGTTTTCCTTCAAAAGTTTTTTTTTCTCTTCAACACACAGACAAAACCTACAAATCACTATCATGGCTTCCGAGAAAGAAACCCTAGAAGAGAAGAAATAAGAAAAAGAAACAAACGAGCAAGAAGAAAAGGTTAAACAGAACAGTGAAGAAATAAAAATTGATGATGATAAGGATGAAATAGGAGAAGACAGAGAGGGTGCAGGGGAAATGGAAGTAGACAAACAAGAGGAAGAGGAAGAATCTGGGGAGGAAGAGGAAAAGAAAAAAGTTGTGAACAAGGGAAAAGATAGAGGTGCAATGAAAGAGGAGGAAGGGAAAAGGGATAATATGGATTCGCCCACAACACCAGGTTCAAAGCCATCGGTGGAGACATACACAAAACAGTTACCGTGAAAATAACCGGGTAAATAGTTTGGGCCCCATTAACAAGAGTAGTAAATAGTTTGCGTCTGGGTATTAAAGGATAAATAGTTTAGAATTAATGTGTATAAAGTGAGATTTTCCCATAAAAATTTGATACACTTGATAGCCACTTGAAGTGTCTAACTGGAAATGGACTCATTTGAAGTATTTGCCTGATAGTTAAGGACAACTTAAAAGAGCCATTTATGTATTTCGCCTTTTTAATTTTCCTCACTACACAAAAAGTGGATTACACTTGATGAAGTAAAAACTTTGGAGAACAATAGTCAATTTGGTCAATTTTGAGTTGATGTCGATAACTATTCTTTGATTAGGGAAATAATATAATTTGTATAATTTCGTTATGTTTTTAAGATGAGAAGTATTATAACGTCGTAATAGTTAAGACAAAAAATCAGTATCCAGCTAAACCTGTAAAGCTAAAAGGTCAGTTGTAACCATCTCATAGATGCATTTTATGTGGTATACATGGCAGGTGAATGTGCTCATATTCATCTTTGATATTTCCAGCATTTATGAGATTCAATCCCAATTTTAGTTGGTATATTAATTAATGAGAACAGGCAACATAAGAGAATTCGTAAAGAACTTTCTAGTTCTTTAATATTTACCCATGTGAATTCTCTTTTATTTTTGCAAATCATACTTAAATTGATATGGGTAAACCAATTATGCCAACTGAATAAATTATCAATATTGATAAACTTCAGATTTATACCATGACGTGTGCAATTATCAATAAACTTCAAGTTTATTATGATATGGGTTTTTATATCAATAAAATTTTCTTTATTGTGACATTCTTTTGTTTGTATAGTACAAACTGAAGAATAAAGCAGGTAGCTTTTCAGATATATATTACCCCGCTACAAGTTGTAGTAATAGAAGATATTAAATCTTTCCTTTATTTATAGTCTCAATATATCCAACCGCTTTCGTGAATATCTTAGAAACTCAATTAAGTTTCTTTAAGACTTATTACAACATAATGCCTTATTGATAATCAGTTTTATTCCTCCAAAATAGTAATAATTGACTCTTCCAAAGCTCTCAATTAATTTGGTACTACTACATATTCATCACATCCATATGGTGAATATCTCTTTTAAAAAAAAAGTTATACCATTATGGTCATGGTTAGAATTCTATACAAGATCTGTTCCTTGCATTACTGTTGCCTTTTAATAACCACATCGCCAAAATATTTTGGCGTACACTAGGTATGTGACCAATGACCCTTCATGCCATAATAATGACATTATTTTCTTATTTCCCCTCAAACTTCATTCTAGAAGTGAGTGTGGTATATTCACTACCAGTAGCACGTTCATATTCTTCCAAGAATGGATATGTATTCATAAATCACATGTTGTCACATTCACATCATGAATGGACCATAATCATCTATATGTGCTTTACGAAATCTCATGTCAAATCGATGACAAATATTACTTTCACAAAGTGGAGGATTATTTTGAGAATCCTTATTGTTCTCATTACCACAATGATGACGATTATAATTTCGTCTATTGCTACGTCTACATCCATTGATACATTCATAGTAATAATTTTGTCTTCTTTCATACGTATTACATACTGCTATCACATTCTCTTAAGGGAATGAGAATGAAGCACATATAGATGATTACGTCCCATTGAATTTGCTCCATTCTCATTCCCTTAAGAGAATGCGATAGCAGTATGTGATAAGTCTGAAAGAAGACAAAATTTATTACCATGAATAATCAATGGATATGGACGTGACAATAGACGAAATTATAATCGTCATCGTTTGTGGTAATGAGAATAATAAGGATTCTCAAAATAATCCTTCACTCTGTGAAAGTAATATTTGTCATCGATTCGACATGAGATTTTGTAAAGCACATATAGATGATTATGGTCCATTCATGATGTGAATGTGACAACATCTGATTTATAAATACATATTCATTCTTCAAAGAATATGAACGTGCTAGTGGTAGTGAATATACCGCACTCACCTCTAAAAGGAGGTTTGAGATGATATAAGAAAATAATGTCATTATTATGGCATGAATGGTCATGGTCACGTACCTATTGTACGCCAAAATATTTTGGCAATGTGATTATTAAAAGACAACGGTAATGCAAGAAACAAATCTTGCATATAATTTTGACCATAACCATAATGGTATAACTTTCTCTTTAAAAGAGATATTCACCATATGGATGTTGATGAATATGTGGTACTACAAAATTAATTGAGAACTCTGCAAGAGCCAACTATACTATTTTGGAGAAACAAAATTGATTACCAATAAGGTATTGTGTTGTAGTAAGTCTCAAAGAAACTTATTGAGTTTCTAAAGTATTCGCGAAAGCGATTGGTTATATTGAGACTATAAATAAAGGAAAGATTTAATATCTTCTATTACTACAACTTGTAGCGGGGTAATATGTATGTGAAAAGCTACCCGCTTTATTCTCCAATTTGTACTAGATAAACAAAAGAATACCACAATAAAGTGGATGCTTATTGATATAAAAACTCATATCACAATAAACTTGAAGTTTATTGATAATTGCACATGTCGTGGTGTAAACCTGAACTTTATCAATATTGATAATTTATTCAGTTGGCATAATAGGTTTACCCATATCAATTTAAGTATGATGTGCAAAAATAAAAGAGAATTCACATGGGTAAATATTAAAGAACTAGAAAGTTCTTTACGAATTCTCTTACATTGCTTGTTCTCCTTAATTAATAGACCAATTAAAATTGGGATTGAATCTCATGAATGCTGAAAATATCAAAGGTGAATATGGGCTCATTCACCTGCCATGTATACCACATAAGATGCATCTATGAGATGGTTACATGTGCGATTATTATTAATCCGCAACATGGTGTTTGCGAGGTAACTTGCTCAATAATTTGATTTAGAGCATAATTTCCAGATTTTTTACTCAAGAAAGTTTATCTTGATAAGTTGGTTTACATCACAGTTAGTTTAGCAAAATAATTATTGAGTGCCTCCACTTAATAGCTAAACTATTGCTTATGAGAATAAAGTTATATATATCAGTTTGATATATGTTATATACAAAAGTATATTATATTCTCCCCTCACAAGTGGTTCAGGGTCAGGAACCAAATAATTTCATCTTATTATTATTGATGTGCGGTGTACATTTTGATTAAGACCATAACGCACAAAGATGGATTCTCAAAGTTGAGGAAACAAGTTAGTTTTTCTAACATGAGGGGGAGACATGATAAACAGTTGAGAAAAAGTTACGTGGAATGAATTATCATTTGTACATTTAGATCCTCGAATAAAATAATATGAACTTGAAGTTCATAAAAAGATAATTCATTGGCAATATATTGCAAAGCATGCCAGACGCATTTGCTAGCCCAAAGAAAGTAACTATATTCTCATTGCAAATGCTCCTATTAAGTCCTAGAAGGACAAAGTCTATAGTACGCTTAACTCATATAGACAAATCGGTTTCAAATAAACTTCTTGATAAAGAAGATGAGCAAATGATCATAATAAAAGAGGCAAGTGATCTAGAAGATCACATGACATAACACTTCATAAAATCTCAAGAGAGATTCAGGTACCTGGATATATGAATGAAGAGATCTCTATGTTATGTCTTTATGAAAAATAAGGAGGTTGGAACCGATATAAAATGTTCGTCGATTACATCTATGATACCGCTAAATATATATGAGGATCTTAAGTCTAGAGAAACAATTCAAGTAGAATTGGTTTCATATGAAAGACATGTTGTTTTGGACCTGCAGTTCAAACACTTGAAAGTATAAAGTCAATGGTATGTGCAATCAGTTTTAGCATGACATGAAAACTTGATATGCATCTAGAGTCTATTATATGGCTTATATGACTTAACTTATATGACAATCCATGAAGGATTTAAGTTGCTTGAAGCATATACAATTCTTGATCTTGAAGTACCACTTCCTCAGTGCAATTTGTGCACAAATGTATCTTGCTATTACCATAAGCATGATAATGTGATAGCGAAAATACCTCTATGGAGATATTGAAAAGGCCATTCCATGGCAGTTTATGAAGACATTACATCTTTATCAAGAATGATGATTTCAAGGTGCAATATATTCATTCGAGTTAATATGGCTGATTTGTTCATCAAATATCTACCAAAGATCCTTTGAAGATGGTGCACAAGATTGGAATGCAAATGCTTAAGTATGTGAATTGATGCTCTCATCAGGGGGAGTTAATGCGCGTTGCACTCTTTTTCCCTTACAAGGTTTTCCTTGCAAGGTTTTTAATGAGGCAACCAAAAGGCATATTGTTAGATATGTGTACTCTTTTTCCTTGTCTAGAATTTTTTTTCCCACTGGATTTTATTTTAGTTAAGGTTTTATCGAGGCACATTATCTGTTGAATAGACATTCAAGGGGGAATATTATAAATAGAATTTTATTTATGGTGAATGTCTATATTTAGAGAGATTCTAGGGTTTATTACTTGGTGGTTAAGTCACCCTCTCCCTATAAATAGAGGGTTCTATTCCATTGTAAATCATCCCAATATCAATAAGAATTCTCTCTCTCTACTTTTCTATGCAATACTCTTCTTCTTCTTTTATTGTTTTATAACATTAATATTATTTTCCTACAAGTTAAAAGCTTGACCCAATGGTTTAGTTGAATATTAATGCAAAGGGAGGTATGGATTCAATTTCCTTAGCCCCAAATTTTTAACAAGAATGCCATCTCAAATATATTCGAAAAATAGAATGTCCGAGTCCATCCACCAACATACGACCTTTACAAACCCAAATATGAGCATGACCAGTGAATCAAGAAATACTCTTTGTCAGAAAGCGGTGTCATTACTATTTATATTGCTCCGTTTTTGCAAGACTGGGAGAAATTCAAAAATAGCCAGATTTACCACTGGTCGTTGAAAAATAGTCAAGTTTCA